TTGTGCATGAAATCCTCGTCCACTTACGCGAGCTCGTGGCCGAGAAAGAGCCTCTGCGCTTTGGCAAATTTGAGGTATTTGCTGTGGCGCGCCCCGTCTCCGACATCAAGGCTTGGGGCGATGTCTTCGCGCAGTTGACCCGTGACTTCGCAGCGCCAAATCGACGCTCTGTTGACATCGACCTCAACTCCCAGCTGGGCAAGGACATCCAAGACCTGTTCCGCATCAAGGCCGTAAAGATTCAGGCAGCGCCGTCCCCTATTCAGCGACGCTTCCTCATGAACCAGCCCTACTCGGCCAGGGGAGTTGCTCTTGAGTATATTGATGGCAGCCGACACATAGAAGTTGAGCAGCTGGAAGATGTCAGACATCCCAAGGGTCGGTTCAACCAAGCTGTTCGCTACGCTGTCTTCATCTACGGCGACTCCTATCAAGATCCAACAGCAGTGCATGAAGGCGATGTTCATGACCCCTCCGTGCCTGTTCCTGGCCTTCCAACCGACGTCACCTTTCCAACGCTGGGACAGCAAGTTCCGCCCGAGATCCGGCGGTCCGTGGCACGCTTGCACACCAATTTGGGACATCCTTCACCCCAGGAGCTTTCCAGGCTACTCCTACATCGAGGCATACCGAATGCTGCTGTGTTGGAGTGCGTGAAGAAGCTTCATTGCGCCACCTGCGAGCGGCTCAAAGGACCGCAACAACCACGGCCAGCCTCAAGCACCGTGCCCTCGACAGCTTCTCAGTTCAACGAGCTTGTGCAAGGGGACTTCTTCTACGTTCGTCTCGCCACCGGACAAGCCATACAAGTCCTGGGCTTGGCCGACACTGCCACAGGGTTCCATCAAGCTGCAGTACTTCGCACAAAGGGCGCCAAGGAGACCTACGACCTCCTTGACAGGATCTGGTTAAGACCATATGGACTTCCAGCGCGCCTTCTGCTAGATCCAGACCCATTGTTCCAAGGCGACTTTGACGACATGCTGTCGACCGTGAATGTGCAGGTGGACTTCTGCCCCGCCGAAGCTCATTGGGTGATCGGTATGGTAGAAAGAAGAAACGCTGTTCTACGTACAGTCTTGGAGCGACTGATCAGCGACCATAGTGCTTCCACTGTGGACGACCTCGAGTATCTGATCTCTCCGGCGATTCACTCCATGAACTCCTTCATCACCAACAAGGGCCGCAGCCCATTTCAAGCGGTCTTCGGAAGAGTCCCTCAAATGCCTGGAGGCCTGTTCACTGATCAGGGCGCGCTGGCGGTGAGTCCACTGGACCCAGGGCTCAATGCCACCTTGATCCGCAGCGAGGCCATACAGTACCTCAGCGCCATGAACGCGGACAAAGGTCTTCGACGAGCACTACTGCGCAAAACCCGGAACACCAAGGTTCCTGACCTGCAACCTGGGCAAAGGTGCTCTTTCTGGCGATGGCGCAAACGTGGCCTGCGCAAACGTGGCGCATGGACGACAGGGCGCTTCCTGTCCTGGGACCCAGAACAACCCGGGAAGCAAGCTTGGGTGCGCAGCGGCAACTCCACCATACTAGTCGCGACCGAACAGCTACGAGAAGCCATAGGCTTCGAAAGCTGGGCTCCCGACGAGCGCGACGTTCAGGCGCTCAAAGATGCAATGATCGACTTGAAGGAATCCGTGTGGCAGGACGAACGTGGGTTGGCGCCTGAGACCGCCGACGTGGAGGACGACTACGACCTGCAGGACTACGAGCCGTCGATGCCGGCGACGCCCAGTATGGCGCCAATCGACACGGTCGTACCGCTGCGAGAACAACTACAAGCCCGGCCTTCACTTCCTGCGCAACAACGAGGCCAAACAACCAACTATAACTTGAACATGAGTCCGACCTACCATCAGACCATCATGCACCAGCAAAGGTTTGGGGACCCGGACTCCGCGCTAAACAAAGCACGGACTACGCCGCGGGGACCTCGAGCATCAAGGACGCCCAGAGGTCGCTCACGGACACCTTCTCGACTTACACCAACTTCAGAACTACCTGCAGGAGATGGTCGAGAGCAACCGCAACAACCTCTTGAACTACCCGATGGTGCTGCAGTAGAAACAAGCGCGCAATATGGGAGTGCGGCCTACGACAGTGCGATCTTTGATGACCCCGTCGTGGAGGCCAACGAGACTGCCCAAGGCAACACCGTTGAAGCCGAGCGGCCTGCACATTTCCCTCAACAAGAAGTTTTTCCAGAACTTCAAGCACCGCCACCGACTGCAGCCCAAGAGAGCGAAATTCCACAGGGGCAACAGTCCGTAGCGGCGCCGTTCCCTGAGCAAGAAACCCAAGCAGAACCTCAAGCGCCGACGCCAGGCCCTGCTTCAGCTTCAGTCCATAGCCCCACGGAGGAGATTTCGAGTTCAGAGGCTGCCACTCAACCGAGCCTAAGCACCGCGCCGCTGGCGCCTTCAGAACCTCCTCTACCACAGCTACATCTGAAGAGGCCCTTTGATGCCTTGACTACTCTGCTTTACGACGACGGCGAGCTGGTGAAGGTCAAACCTGACGACGATTACCACATCGGCGTGTTCGGGCCCAAGACCAACGTCTTCTACCAGGCCTACCTGTCCAGCCAGCACCGTAAAGACGACGTGCCGCCGGACAAGATGCCCGACGAAAGCGACACAACGGACACGGACCACGGTGGCCCTTCGCCTGGAGCAACCTCGGCAAAGAGGCAGCTCTCTCGGAAAGAGCTAAAGCAGCTCGACCGGGAGATACCGTGGACACAAATTCTTCGGACAAGCCACGTCCCTGAGTACCTCAAGGCCATCGACAAAGAGTCCACCTCATGGATGGAGTGGAAAAGTGTCGAACCCCTGAGTCACGACCAGGCCAAGCAGGTGCTCAACGACAAAATCCTCTGCAGAAGGATCCTTCGCACCAGAGCTTGTTATCGGGATAAGGCCAGGGGCCAGGGCCCACTGCGTGCCAAATGTCGTATCGTATGTCTGGGACATCGTGATCCAGACCTCTTTTCCTTGAACCGACAAGCGCCAACTCCAAACAGGTCCTCCGAGCACGTGATCTACTACATGATCGTTGCCGGCGCAAACGGTGAGGTAGAAGGATCTCCCTTGAAGTGGCAAGCCTGGACGGGAGATGCAAGCACCGCCTTCCTGCAGGGACAACACAAGGAACGCACGCTTCCTCTTTTTCTCAAGCCTCCTGCGGACGGCTTGATTAACCAGACACCGCATTGGAAGGCGCCGCTCTACAAGGTGTGCTCGAACATCTACGGGCTCGCGGACGCTCCTCGAGTCTGGGCCTTGGAGGTCATCTCCAGACTTCTTCGTCTGGGGTATACCCAGCACAGCTTCGACAAGATGATGTTTCTCAAGCGTTGCAGCAAAGGCAAGATCATCAGCGCTATTCTAGTGTATGTCGACGACTTCCTAGGCACGTTCCGCTCCGACTACAACTTCGAGGAAGTGAAGCAGGCCTTCCAGTGGGGATCCCTGGAGTTCCTGGAGATCGGCAAGCCGATCGTCTTCAAAGGCAAGGAGGTTGAGCTCTTCGCCAAGCCTGGCCACTCCGGACGTTTCCAGCTGAGACTGACCCAGAAGGCGTTCCTGGACGGTCTCGCGCAAGGCAAGCTGCCTCGTGGATGCGACCTCGAGGAGAAGCTCGACAAGGAACACAAGGAGGAATTCCGCTCCGTAGCAGGTTCCCTACAATGGCTTTCCAGTCAAACCAGGCCAGAACTATCTCCGTTCATATCTCTAAGCAACAAAGGAGAGATGACAAGCTACGGAGACCTCAAGTCCTTGTACCTGGCCCTGGGCTATGCCAAACAGACTGCCAATGAGGGACTGGTGCTTGCAGATGTTCCTTTGGGAGCCTCAACAACGTTGGTTTCCTACGCCGACTCCAGCTTCGCCAACACGCCCCAGCTCCGTTCCCAGTACGGCGTACTCATACTGGCTTCCGTTCCCCAAGTCTCCCAGGTACCCTGCCTTGGATTGCTTCTTGACTGGCGGAGTGGCAAGTCAAGTCGAGTATGTAGATCTACGTTAGCTGCGGAGGCCATGGCAGCTGACGAGGCAGTGGATAGGAGTGCTTACCTTAACCTCTTCATTTCTGAGATCCTGACTGGATGCCCAGCTCACCGTGTACAACCCGTACTACGTCACCTACACGTCACAGATGCTAAGTCCCTGTACGACGTGCTGGAGTCTGAAACACCGAACTTGACGGACAAGAGAAGTCTAGTCAACATTCGTGCAGTCCAGGAGGTGGTGAAGGGCGAGAACGTCCACTGGGTGCCGACTCATTTGATGAAAGCCGACGGCCTCACTAAGATGTCCTTGCAGCTGATGGAAGGGCTGCATAGTTGGCTCTTGAAGCCGTTCATAATCCTGCGTGATATCATTGCCAAATAGAAAACCTTACCGGTGTTAAACCTGCGCTTTTGCTTCCCTTGGCAATGACTCACGCATGTCCTTCTCCCGCGGCCATTGCGGCTGACATCACTGCCCAGTCGGGCCCACTTGAGCGATTCTTTCATGGAAAACCAGCCTTACGCTTCCTTGCTCTGCAGCCACGCGGTGTTTCTGCACTGAGCGAGTGGTTTGCTAAGACAAACTGTCACCGAATGTCTGCGGATGCTTTGTAATCTTGCAGAGGCCCCAAAGTTGCGAGTACTTCTGAAATGCTGTAGTTTAGGGTTTAGGGCTTAGGGTTTAGGGTTTAGGGTGTAGTTAATCCCAACCCTGAACCCTAAATCCGAAGCCCTAAACCCTAAGCCCTATACACAATCTTGCTGCCCACCTGCCCGCACTCTCCCAGAAACGGTGGTAAACCTCTGACAGGTCAATAGGTTTTGAAAGCAACTTGAGCCCCCCTGCTTGCTAACTTTAGGGTTTTGGGTTTACGGTTTAAGGTTTAGGGTTGTATGGTTTAGGGTTCAACCCTAAACCCTAGACCCTAAACCCTAGAGACCCTAAACCCTAAACCCTAAACCCCAGGGACGTATGGCAACGCGCGCCCCACAAATTCAGGTGCCACCGAAGGATTTCTGGTTCATTGGCGAGGTGGAGGACAGCTGCAACGACATTTGCCACTTCAAGGGCTTCGCGGGCTGCGATGCGGAGAAAACGGCGGAGCTCGTGAACCAGTCAAGTATCTCAGGGGTGGTGGAGAGCCTCAACAAGAACTGCAGCACCTTCGGCGTCCTAAACAACCGTTTCCCCGCATACACGGCTAGCAACGAGAAGTGCTTCTACCTGGGCGGACAGCTGAATTGCGACACCGCGACGTTTCCCTACCAGCCGGTGTGCCGCTGCAACACCACGACCTTGTCTACGACGCTGTCGGCTGCTCGATCGCGGTCGATTGGGAAGAAGATCCTGTACCTATAGGCACCTGTAGCTTCGGTCAACCAAGCTGACAGCCCAAACGCAGGAGTGACAGGACAGGTCCCAAAGAAAGCCCATGCAAGACGCACTCCGCTTGCCTAGGCGCGGTGGTTCGTGGGTGACGAGCACGACACCTGCAACGACCTGTGCCGATACAAGGGATACACAGGTTGCAATGAAGCTACGACGGGGGAGCTCACAAGGCAGGGGAGAATGCAACGCGTGATGGACCACCTCAACATGACCTGCGCACAGTGGAGCAGTAACAACTACTTCCCATCCTACACTGCCAACAACGCGCAATGCTACAAGTTGAAGACAGCCATCGATTGCGATAGAAACCCAAGTGTAGCACATCGGCCTGTCTGCGAGTGCAGTGATACGACGTCGACGACGACCTTGTCGGTTGCTCGGTTGCAGTTGACTCTGGATTTGTTGAACTTCAAGTTGGGGGCTTCGGTGCGGTTCATTTCTGCGTTGCTAGGGTCCAAGTCGGAATCGCGTCTGGAAGGTGAATTCGATGGTGGAGGTTGCTGTGAGCTCAAGAGTAATTGATCGGTATCGAACGAACGTAGGAGGTGCATCAGCACGGCACAATAAGCCCGGCATTGGACAGAAGCTGCTTTGTGTCGTGGGAGGCTCGGTGGTTCGTGGGCGAATCACAGGACAGCTGCAACGATCTCTGTCACTTCAAGGGATACGCGGGTTGCGATGTGGAAAAGACCGGAGAGCTTGTCAGGAGGCCGAGAGTGACAAGGGTTTTGGACCACCTGAACATGACCTGCGCATCGTGGGGCGCCGATCGCGTGAACTTCGCGGGATACAGCGAAAGCAGCGAGACGTGCTACCTTCTGAAGGGGGCAGCCGATTGTGACAAGAGTCAGCTTAACATTCATCCAATCTGCCACTGCAACGCCACAACGTCAACGACGACTTTGTCGGTTATTTGGTGGCAGTTGGTTATGCATGTAGCGTCGCGGTCTTCGTTTGACGTTGAAGTTTGTGGGTACAGTTTTGCTTCTGTCTAGGTTTCAGCCGGATTTGTCTCTGGCATCTGATGTCGATGGTGAATTGAGGGTTCTAGGAGGTCTTGCTCATTCCTGTCTTTTTTGGGCATGGTTCATGTCGTTCGCGAGTTTACATCTACATATACTGCATCAGTAAAGTTCACAGTTCTCGATCGGCATTGAAAGCACGTAGTGAGAGGTGCGTGAGTTTACGAACAGAGGAAAACAAGCACTGTGCTGGACAGAAGCTGTCTTGTGTCTTGACAGGCTCGGTGGTTCGTGGGCGATTCAGAAGACAGCTGCAATGATCTCTGTCACTTCAAGGGATACGCGGGTTGCGATGCAGAAAAGACCGGAGAGCTTTTCAGGAGGCCGAGAGTGACAAGGGTTTTGGACCACCTCAACATGACCTGCGCATCGTGGGGCGCCGATCGCGTGAACTTCGCGGGATACAGCGAAAGCAGCGAGACGTGCTACCTTCTGAAGGGGGCAGCCGATTGTGACAAGAGTCAGCTTAACATTCATCCAATCTGCCACTGCAACGCCACAACGTCAACGACGACTTTGTCGGTTATTTGGTGGCAGTTGGTTATGCATGTAGCGTCGCGGTCTTCGTTTGACGTTGAAGTTTGTGGGTACAGTTTTGCTTCTGTCTAGGTTTCAGCCGGATTTGTCTCTGGCATCTGATGTCGATGGTGAATTGAGGGTTCTAGGAGGTCTTGCTCATTCCTGTCTTTTTTGGGCATGGTTCATGTCGTTCGCGAGTTTACATCTACATATACTGCATCAGTAAAGTTCACAGTTCTCGATCGAGAGTAGCGAAAGGTGCGTGAGTTTACCAACACAGGAGAACAAGCATCAACAACATATGATAACCCTGTACTGGACAGAAGCATACAGAAGCTGCCTTGTATCGTGGCAGGCTCGGTGGTTTGTGGGCGAGCCACAAGACAGCTGCAATGATCTCTGTCACTTCAAGGGATACGCGGGTTGCGATGCAGAAAAGACCGGAGAGCTTTTCAGGAGACCGAGAGTGACAAGGGTTTTGGACCACCTGAACATGACCTGCGCATCGTGGGGCCCCAATCGCTTGCACTTCGCAGGATACAGCGAAAGTGGCGGAAATGGGAAGTGCTACTCTATGAGCGGGGGAGCCGATTGCGACAGGAGTGCCAACGGTATCCAGCCCATCTGCCACTGCAGCGCTACGACGTCGACGACCACATTGGCTGCTTGAATTGCACGAAGCAGATTGAAGCAGCATATCCGAGGGTTTTGGAGCAGAACGCTGCTAAGTCGGCGACACGCTGTAGGACCTGTAGGGCCATGACGCCAGGTGCGGTGGTTCGTGGGTGAGGCGGAGGACACCTGCAACGATCTGTGCCAATACAAGGGATACGCGGGCTGCGATGCAGAGACGACCGCGGGGCTTGTCAGGGAGCCAATCATGAGGCGGCTGCTGAACGGCCTGAACAAGAGCTGCGATTCTTTTGGCAGCGCGCTCCTCAAATTCCCGGCATACGCGGAATCCGCCCAGAGGTGCCACTACTTGTCTAATGGTGGAAGCGGCATGGATTGCGACAGCTTTGCATGGCCACATCAGCCTGTGTGCCTCTGCAACAGCACGACGTTGTCGACGACGCTCTCCGTTGCTTCGTTGCATGTTGGTATGTCTGTTGCGTTATGTTGCATTCGATGCCGTGCGCATACTCTCGAGGGCAGCCCAATTTGCTGTGAGTAGCTGTGACTCTGTGATGCTCTATGGCCCCGGCCTGTTGCGTCTCGTGCCACTTGCTCCCCCAAGCTTTGCAAGCGAGAGGCTCTGCACACACCAGCGTGAACCGTTTGACCAAGACAAGGGGCCAGCGTGCTTTCGCAGACTGCGACAATAACATGTAGTCTGTCAATATCGATCATTGCGTGCATATACACGTGGCTTTGCGGTGCCGTTTTTCCTGCTGCGAGGCTTTGTGGTTCGTCGGTGAGGAGGGCGACAGCTGCGACGATCTGTGTGAGTTCGAAGGATATGCCGGGTGCGACGCGGAGGAGACAGCAAAGCTCGTGAACCGGCCAAGAATCGAGCGCCTGCTGGCGGGCCTAGACAACAGCAGCTGCAGCGACTGGGGCGAGTCCTTCCGCAGTGCAGCCTACAATCCGGACAGCGGGAAGTGCTTCAAGTTGAAGGGGCAGGCACGCGGAGGGAAGCGCTTTTGTGTTTTTTCCAGCTTTTTCACAATCGGCCACACACAGGGCATGGCTCAGGGGTTCTTACGGTGTGCTGCGACAGCCGCTGAACAGGTGCAATGCGACCTGACCGTGTCGACGACCGTTCGGCCGCTCTGCCACTGCAACAGCACGACCCTGACCTCGACCGTGGCAGCTGCTTGCCTAAGCAGGCGTAGCAGTGTAGCAGTGTAACATAATTAGGGTAAGCAAGAGGGGCAGCGGGCACCTCAGGCTGGGACCTGGGTCCTGGGCGTGGACGGCGACAGCTGCGACAACACGTGCGCAAGCCACGGCCACGAGCAGTGCGATGCGTCCGAGATGGAGCAGATCTCCAGGCCCCCCAAAACAAATCAGCAAAAGCTCTGAGCCGTGCCCAAAGCCTTCCTTTAGAGAGAAGCCCTTAGAGCTGAACCCGCAACAAAAAAACGCAGCTCTTAGCTCGCAGGCCTGCCAGAGCCAAGCGCGTCTTCGACAGCCTGAACCACAGCTGCAGCGCAGTCACGGACTGGAGCCTCGGACCGAACTCGGGCCTCGGGCTTTTTTCCGAGAGTTCGGGAGACGGAGTAGACATGTTTTTTATGTTGTGTCGGAACGCCAGAATCGGAGGCCCGCGCATTCGCCCGGCCTTGGCTTCAAGCCGGGCGATGGCAGGTGCTTCTTCTGGAGAAGCGCCTATCCCGTGGACTGCTCCTTGGGCCAAGCCACCTTGCAGCCCCTCTGCTACTGCCAGACGACCACGACCACGACCGTACCCTCGAAGCACCGTCACATTTTCCGGTGGAAGTTCCAGCTCCATTTCTAACACCAATCCTATCGCAGTCCCCAAATGGAACACTTTCAGAGTCAGACAGTGTGCAACCCTCTTCACGAACCACTGCGGAAGACAGCGAGTACTGCCAATGAAGGTTATCAAAGCCAGAGATAGGTGAGTACTCCTTGCCCCTGAAAGGATTTCTGGTTCATTGGCGAGGTGGAGGACAGCTGCAACGACATTTGCCACTTCAAGGGCTTCGCGGGCTGCGATGCGGAGAAAACGGCGGAGCTCGTGAACCAGTCAAGTATCTCAGGGGTGGTGGAGAGCCTCAACAAGAACTGCAGCACCTTCGGCGTCCTAAACAACCGTTTCCCCGCATACACGGCTAGCAACGAGAAGTGCTTCTACCTGGGCGGACAGCTGAATTGCGACACCGCGGCGTTTCCCTACCAGCCGGTGTGCCGCTGCAACACCACGACCTTGTCTACGACGCTGTCGGCTGCTCGATCGCGGTCGATTGGGAAGAAGATCCTGTACCTATAGGCACCAGTAGCTTCGGTCAACCAAGCTGACAGCCCAAACGCAGGAGTGACAGGACAGGTCCCAAAGAAAGCCCATGCAAGACGCACTCCGCTTGCCTAGGCGCGGTGGTTCGTGGGTGACGAGCACGACACCTGCAACGACCTGTGCCGATACAAGGGATACACAGGTTGCAATGAAGCTACGACGGGGGAGCTCACAAGGCAGGGGAGAATGCAACGCGTGATGGACCACCTCAACATGACCTGCGCACAGTGGAGCAGTTTCAGCTTCTTCCCATCCTACACTGCCAACAACGCGCAATGCTACAAGTTGAAGACAGCCATCGATTGCGATAGAAACCCAAGTGTAGCACATCGGCCTGTCTGCGAGTGCAGTGATACGACGTCGACGACGACCTTGTCGGTTGCTCGGTTGCAGTTGGCTGTGGATTTGTTTGAACTTGAAGTTGAGGGCTTCGGTTGTGGTTCATTTCTGCGTTGCTAGGGTCCAAGTCGGAATCGCGTCTGGAAGGTGAATTCGATGGTGGAGGTTGCTGTGAGCTCCAAAGTAATTGATCGGTATCGAACGAACGTAGTGAGAGGTGCATCAGCACGGCACAATAAAGACCTGCGTTGGACAGAAGCTGCCTTCTGTCGTGACAGGCTCGGTGGTTCGTGGGCGATTCAGAAGACAGCTGCAACGATCTCTGTCACTTCAAGGGATACGCAGGTTGCGATGCGGAAAAGACCGGAGAGCTTGTCAGGAGGCCGAGAGTGACAAGGGTTTTGGACCACCTCAACATGACCTGCGCATCGTGGGGCGCCGATCGCGTGAACTTCGCGGGATACAGCGAAAGCAGCGAGACGTGCTACCTTCTGAAGGGGGCAGCCGATTGTGACAGGAGTCAGCTTAACATTCATCCAATCTGCCACTGCAACGCCACAACGTCAACGACGACTTTGTCGGTTATTTGGCGGCAGTTGGTTATGCATGTAGCGTCGCTGTTTTCGTTGGCGTTGAAGCACGTTGAGGGCTTCTGTGTGCTTCTTTCTGGGTACAGTTTTTACTTCTGTCTAGGTTTAAGCCGGATTTGTCTCTGGCATCTGATGTCGATGGTGAATTGAGGAGGTCTTGCTCATTCCTGTACTTTTTGGGCATGAAAACAAGCATCAACAAAATATGATAACCCTCTACTGGACAGAAGCATACAGAAGCTGTCTTGTATCGTGTCAGGCTCGGTGGTTTTTGGGCGAGCCACAAGACAGCTGCAATGATCTCTGTCACTTCAAGGGATACGCGGGTTGCGATGCAGAAAAGACCGGAGAGCTTTTCAGAAGGCCAAGAGTGACAAGGGTTTTGGACCACCTGAACATGACCTGCGCATCGTGGGGCCCCAATCGCTTGTACTTCGCAGGATACAGCGAAAGTGGCGGAAATGGGAAGTGCTACTCTATGAGCGGGGCAGCCGATTGCGACAGGAGTGCCAACGGTATCCAGCCCATCTGCCACTGCAGCGCTACGACGTCGACGACCACATTGGCTGCTTGAATTGCACGAAGCAGATTGAAGCAGCATATCCGAGGGTTTTGGAGCAGAACGCTGCTAAGTCGGCGACACGCTGTAGGACCTGTAGGGCAAGTCCTGAACAGCACATGACGCCAGGTGCGGTGGTTCGTGGGTGAGGCGGAGGACACCTGCAACGATCTGTGCCAATACAAGGGATACGCGGGCTGCGATGCAGAGACGACCGCGGGGCTTGTCAGGGAGCCAATCATGAGGCGGCTGCTGAACGGCCTGAACAAGAGCTGCGATTCTTTTGGCAGCGCGCTCCTCAAATTCCCGGCATACGCGGAATCCGCCCAGAGGTGCCACTACTTGTCTAATGGTGGAAGCGGCATGGACTGCGACAGCTTCGCATGGCCACATCAGCCTGTGTGCCTCTGCAACAGCACGACGTTGTCGACGACGCTATCCGTTGCTTCGTTGCATGTTGGTATGTCTGTTGCGTTCGATGCCGTGCTCATACTCTCGAGGGCAGCCCAATTTGCTGCGAGTAGCTGTGACTCTATGATGCTCTATGGCCCCGGCCTGTTGCGTCTCGTGCCACTTGCTCCCCCAAGCTTTGCAAGCGAGAGGCTCTGCACACACCAGCGTGAACCGTTTGACCAAGACAAGGGGCCAGCGTGCTTTCGCAGACTGCGACAATAACATGTAGTCTGTCAATATCGATCATTGCGTGCATATACACGTGGCTTTGCGGTGCCGTTTTTCGTGCTGCGAGGCTTTGTGGTTCGTCGGTGAGGAGGGCGACAGCTGCGACGATCTGTGTGAGTTCGAAGGATATGCCGGGTGCGACGCGGAGGAGACGGCAAAGCTCGTGAACCGGCCAAGAATCGAGCGCCTGCTGGCGGGCCTAGACAACAGCAGCTGCAGCGACTGGGGCGAGTCCTTCCGCAGTGCAGCCTACAATCCGGACAGCGGGAAGTGCTTCAAGTTGAAGGGGCAGGCACGCGGAGGGAAGCGCTTTTGTGTTTTTTCCAGCTTTTTCACAATCGGCCACACACAGGGCATGGCTCAGGGGTTCTTACGGTGTGCTGCGACAGCCGCTGAACAGGTGCAATGCGACCTGACCGTGTCGACGACCGTTCGGCCGCTCTGCCACTGCAACAGCACGACCCTGACCTCGACCGTGGCAGCTGCTTGCCTAAGCAGGCGTAGCAGTGTAGCAGTGTAACATAATTAGGGTAAGCAAGAGGGGCAGCGGGCACCTCAGGCTGGGACCTGGGTCCTGGGCGTGGACGGCGACAGCTGCGACAACACGTGCGCAAGCCACGGCCACGAGCAGTGCGATGCGTCCGAGATGGAGCAGATCTCCAGGCCCCCCAAAACAAATCAGCAAAAGCTCTGAGCCGTGCCCAAAGCCTTCCTTTAGAGAGAAGCCCTTAGAGCTGAACCCGCAACAAAAAAACGCAGCTCTTAGCTCGCAGGCCTGCCAGAGCCAAGCGCGTCTTCGACAGCCTGAACCACAGCTGCAGCGCAGTCACGGACTGGAGCCTCGGACCGAACTCGGGCCTCGGGCTTTTTTTCGAGAGTTCGGGAGACGGAGTAGACATGTTTTTTATGTTGTGTCGGAACGCCAGAATCGGAGGCCCGCGCATTCGCCCGGCCTTGGCTTCAAGCCGGGCGATGGCAGGTGCTTCTTCTGGAGAAGCGCCTATCCCGTGGACTGCTCCTTGGGCCAAGCCTTGCAGCCCCTCTGCTACTGCCAGACGACCACGACCACGACCTTTGCCAATGGCATCAATGAGGTGGTTGTTACTACCAAAAGTGGGGGCGCGGGCTTTAGGGGGGTGGCCGTGACGGCCAACGGCAAGGCGGTCTTCGTTCCCGGGTCGGATCAGGCCCACGTCTGTCAGAACAACGAACACACGCAGGTGGGAATCCTTGACCTGACCTCGGGCAACTGGGAGACCTTCGAAGCCACGGATTGCTCGCGGGGCAGGGCAAACGCTACCCCTTTGCCCGCGAACGGCTGGCACGGTGCTGCGGCTGTGGGCAACAAAGTCGTCTTCGCTCCAGCCCAGCACTTCCACACAGGCAGCATCAACACAAACTACACGGGCGTGACAGCAGTCGTTGGGGTCTTCGATGTAGGAGTGCAGCCCTACACGTTGACTCGCTTTGACATCAGCAGCCTGATGCCTGCTAACACCCAGTCCCTTTTCGACGGCGCGGTGGCGGTCGGCACGGTGGTGGTCTTCACACCGCAGACGTACGCAACAACAAACAAGGCCGTGGGTGTCTTTGACCCGAACAACCTCACAGAGCCGTACAGGGAAGCGAAGTGGCCAGTGAGCTTGGTGGTCCAAGCAGGGGCTGGAGGGGGCGCGACCTTTCAGGGTGCCGTGGCGGTGGGCAATAAGGCCGTGTTCTGCCCCTTCAGAGGCAAGCAGATCATGACCTACGCGCCCGAACTACCCGATGACCAAGCCTTCGAGTTGGTGGACATCAGCAGCATCACTACCGCAGGCGATTACCTCTTTCACGGAGGTGCAGCTGTGGGCACCAAGGTCTACTGTGCACCCTGGCAGGAGGATGGCATCCTCGTCTACGACGTTGAAACCAAAGCCTATGACTTGATTCTCGTCAGCCTCTTCACCTCGACCGGCTACACCTTCTATTCGGCGGCGGCTCTGGGGCCCAAGGTTTACTTCGCTCCCGGTGATGGAGGGGTCCTGCTGTCCCTCGACACGACTGACAACTCCACGCACACAGACAGCAGCCTGAGCTCGGACGTCCGGCGGAACCTCTACTCCTACTACTCTGGCGTTTCCGACCCCTCCACCGGATCGGCGATCTTCTCACCCCAAGCTGCTCGGGCCGTCCTCCTCATCCGCTCCACGACCACCACGACGACCTTCTCCGACGGCATCCACGAGATATCCCTTTCTACGAACAGGGCTGGGTACGTGGGTGTTGCTGTGACGGCCAGCGGCAAGGCGGTCTTCGCGCCGTCGGAGCGTGAGAACCTCGTCTGCGTGCGGCCTGAGGCCACGGAGGTGGGGATTCTGGACGTCATCTCGGGTGAGTGGGAGACCTTCCAACTCACAGATTGCTCGAATGGAAAGGCAAACGCTGCTCCTTTGCCTGCAAACGGCTGGTACGGTGCTGCGGCCGTGGGCGACAAGGTTGTCTTCGCACCAGCAGGACACAGATGGACGTCTTCAATCAACTCAAACTTTGCGGGTGTGACAGCAGTCGTTGGGGTCTTCGATGTGGGAGTGCAGCCCTACAAGTTCACTCGAGTGGATATCAGCAGTTTGGTTCCCGCTGCCACCAATGAGCATTTCTACGGCGCGGTGACGGTGGGTTCGGTGGTGGTCCTCACTCCACAGGGGCTCGTAAGTACAGCACAAGCCGTGGGCGTCTTTGACCCAAACAATGCCACGCAGCCGTACAGGGAGGCGAAGTGGCCAGCGAGCATTGTTGTCCAAGCAGGGGCGACCTTTGCAAATGCTGTGGCGGCGGGCAACAAGGCCGTTGCCTGCCCATACCGAGGCAAGCAGATCATGACCTACGCACCCGAGCTACCGGATGACCAAGCCTTCGAGGTGGTCGACATTAGCAGCATCGCTACCTATGGCGCTTCCGGCGTGGGATTTCACGGAGGTGCAGCTGTGGGCACCAAGGTCTACTGTGCACCCTATGAGGAGGACGGCATCCTCGTCTACGACGTGGACACCAAAGCCTATGACTTGATTCTCGTCAGCCTCTTCGCCTCTGGGGAAAGCTTCTTTTCAGCAGCGGCGCTCGGGCCCATCGTCTACTTTGCACCCGGTGCAGGTGCTGTCCTGCTGTCCCTGGACACGCGCGACAACTCCACGCACACCAACGGCAGCTTTGGTAGCGATGTCACCTACGGCTCCCGAAGCTACTCGCATGGCACCGCGGATGCCTCGAGCGGAACGGTGGTCTTCTCGCCCTTTCTCGCAAAGGCCGCCCTCCTCATCCGATCTTAATTGTCGCAACTCCAACCTTTCGTTTCTTGAAGGACTCATGTGGGCTTCTTGCATGCTTTGCTACTGCTTCTTGCCGTACTTTCATTCCGGTTGCAGGGAAAGGCTGGGGAACGTCCTGACGCGAAATTGTCGGGAAAAACTCGATCAGGAGGTGTGGCGGCCACTGTGATTTCAACACCGCTTTAGCGGAGGCCGAAGACCCCTGGCATAGGGCGTGCAAGAATCTGATGATAAATCCTAAACGCCCTCTAGGCATCAATCTCTGCTTAGCAGACCTGAGCCAGGGTCTCGACTGACCAATCTGGTCGTGTGGGCCATGGTGGGGTTGGCAAATTTCAGCTGAGTGCTCGTGACCTGCCGACCCCGTCGTGTGCCCATACTTGGAGGCTCATGGGTACTTATCATTGGGTTTATAAGTAGGGTAACCATGGTTATAACCGTGTTTAGGGGACTTCTGACCCGACTTAGAAGTACCCCTGAGCCTTCAAGTCGCGCCGAGCAGAGCAGATCCTGCGATTGAAGTCCTCGAAGCCCGGAAGGCCGTTGTAAGAAAGCACAACCAGAAAGTTCATGTTGCATCCCAACCAGCGCGCAACCTCTGCTTGCCCACGGGACCTACCTCGAGTACTGTGACAAAGCAGCCTTATGGAACCGAACCCCTTGACAGGCAACAAAAAGGACCCACTAGGTCACCAGGATCTGGGATGCGTGGACGACTTGCGCTTCGAGGCCACTTGCCCCCACCCCCCCCGTGGAGGAACAGAGAGGAAGTTTCGGGTTTCGAGATTTGGACCCTTAACTTCTAAACCCAAAACTCGAAGCCCTAAGCCCATTCTGGGGGGATGAGGGCGCTGCAAGAAATTCGGGCGCAGTGCCCGCTTCCGCCCGGGAAAAATGCGCTGCCGGAAAGCCAAGAGGCCCTTAAGCGCCGTTACTCCCATGGCTCCCTTAGGCAGGGGGCGCGCACGTGCGAGGCCATACAAGTATGGTAGGCCCCTACGCCCTAAACCCTAAGCCCTAAACCCTAAACCCTAAACCCTAAACCCTAAACCCTTTCTATAAAACCTAAACCCTAAACCCTAAACCCTAAACCCTAGACCCTAGACCCTAAACCCTAAACCCTAAACCCTGTAGATCCTAGACCCTAGACCCACTGGAGTCGAATTGGGGGCTTCTTGGCACCTATAGCCTGGAGGAGCGCTTCTCCATGTGTAGGGCTTTTACAACTCCGGCACGCACGAGCTGGGTAAGTCGCCAAGTGGGGCTCATCAGGCTGTCTAGGGTTTAGGGTTTAGGGTTTAGGGTTTAGGGTTTAGGGTACAGGGTTTAGGGTTTAGGGTTTAGGGTTTAGGTTTAGGTGGTGGTGGTTCAGATCTACCAGACGCTGCTACTCCTGACCGGTGCCCGCCTGCGCGGTTGGCAAGGAGCTTTGGCCTTGCCATACTTCGGCCGTAGCCCTCGCAGCAGATCCAGTCCAGCAGCTGCCCAGGCCAAGATATACCCTAAACCCTAAACCCTAAACCCTAAACCCGAAACCCTAAACCCTAAACCCTAAACCCTAAACCCTAAACCCTAAACATATATGTGGTTTTTTTTTATGCATACCCTTTAAAGGATTATGCAGGGCCCCCACAATCCCCATACCCTACGAAGAACCAAGGGGAAACCCGAAACCACGTGACTAGCTGGTCTGGCTGATAGGGGCCGCGGCGTTAATTTGATTTTATTGGCTTCTCGCCTTTCCATGGTCCACATGACAGGGGTGCAAATCTCAGCTGAGCGCTCGTGATCTGCAGAACCCGTCGTGTGCTGCCAGAGTAGATCTTGCAATCGAAGCTCTCGAAGTCTGGCATCTTCCCCAGCAAGCCCCAGCAAGCCCCAACAAGCCCCAACAAGCCCCAACAAGCCCCAACAAGCCCAACAAGCCCCAACAAGCCCCAACAAGCCCCAACAAGCCCCAACAAGCCCCAACAAGCCCTAAACCCTAAACCCTAAACCCTAAACCCTAAACCCTGAACCCTAAACCCTAAACCTTAAACCCTAAAACCCTAGCCCTAAACCCTAACTAAAGAGGAAAGTGTAGTGGCGGTGGTAGGGGTCGTAGGCAGGGCCCGTACTCTTGGTCGTGGTCACGGTTTAGGGTTTAGGGTTTCATTCGGGTTTAGGGTTTAGGGTTTAGGGTTTAGGGTTTAGGGGTTTAGGGTTTAGGGTTTAGGGTGTAGGACACCTGGCGGTGAGTGTTGGTTGTGGTGTTCGCTGTGCGTGGCGATGCTTGGTTGATTTGGAAGAGTAGCAATAATAGTAAAAATGATAATCATAATAATAGTAGCAATAATAATAGTAATAGTAATAGTAATAGTAATAGTAATAGTAATAGTAATAGTAATAGTAATAGTAATAGTAATAGTAATAGTAATAGTAATAGTAATAGTAGTAGTAATAGAAATAGAAATAGAAATAGTAATAGTAATAGTAATAGTAATAGTAATAGTAATAGTAATAGTAATAGTAATAGTAAGTAAAAAGTAAAAGTAATAGTAATAGTAATCGTAATAGTAATAGTAATCGTAATAGTAATAGTAATAGTAATAGTAATAGTAATAGTAATCGTAATAGTAATAGTAGTAATAATAATAATAGGAAGCGCGTTCCCATTGCCGGACCTTCGAAGGGCTTCAAGCGCTCTGGCAAGTAGTTTAAGAAGCCCAGCCCTCTCGCAAGGCGCGCTTTATGCCACCCTTTGCAAAGCTAGGGGCAGCTCAGCACCGCAAAGTTTGCAAACATCGCAGCTCACCCATCTTGGACGTTCAGTGGTGCAAGACCCAGCCGGAGACCACGGCTCTGGTAAACCGATGCTCAAATTTCGCGTGCCGATTTGTGGAAGGCGAAGTTGCGAACCGCTCCTGTCTGGGACTTTTGAAGGCTCTGGGAGCCTTCACACGCAAACCACACGGCATTTCACCCTTCGCGTAGTTCGCTGGACAAATTTTGCACGATCACCCAAGCCACGAGGATTGGTTCTTGCTTTGATTGGCACAAGCGGCCTGACTAGTATCTCAGATGATTGCTCCTGAGCTGGCGGACCGTGCTTGTGTGCACAGTTTGACCCTCGCACCGGGCAGACCCTCAGATCAGTAGATCCTGCGAGCCCTAAGCACTCAACCCTAAACCCTAAACCAGAAACCCCAAACCCCTAAACCCCTAAACCCCTAAACCCTAAACCCTAAACCTAGATCCTGCGAGCCTGCACTAGGCAAAACACGCAACCTTAAGCAGACGTTGACGGTGTTAGAAGGTCAAAGATGAAGCACCTCAAAGCCGCTCCAAACGACGTATACTATCACAGATTCTTGCTTTTCTTGCTATTCTTGTTGCTTGTTATTCTAGTTGTTCTTGTTCTTGCTATTGTTGTTATTCTTGTCATTTGTGTTCTTCTTGCTCTTCTTGTTGTTTTTTGTTATTCTTGTAATTCTTCATGTTATTCTTGTTACTCCCAAGCGGCGCCCTGTGCTTGTTCAATCTGCCTCAACGTGGGTATAAGGCTCGCAGGGTTCAGGGTTTAGGGTTTAGGGTTTAGGGTTTAGGGTGACTGACGGATTTCGCTTTCTTTCCGCTGCCAGCGCAGTCGTTTGCTAGCGAGGGAAGAAGCAACCTAAACCCGGAAGCCCTAAACGTGGGTTGGTTAAACGGGAATGCAGGAATGACTATGATAGTAAACCGAATAATGCTGGTGCGTCCACAATTGCATGATTATGTTGACTTGCGTTGTTGTGATTTTGTTTCGTTATGTTCTTTGCTGTGTTTGGTAATCTCTGTTCTTTGCCCAACACAAAAGTATCCTTGCCTGCGACGATCCTTCGCGAGCCTTCAAAACATCGTTTCTTCGATGTTTCATGGGTGTTTGTTCAACAACCCTGCGTTTTGGCGATGTTTTGTCTGGAGTCGGTGAGGGAGGGTGTTGCAGAGCATCTTTTCCTGAGGAATGCGATGTCTCTCTGCTACCAGCAGCGCAGTCGTTTGCGTAGCGAAGGGAAAAACGAATCTTTTGGTTGAAATGGCTCTCTTCAACACCGAAAACATGTCCCCAAAACCAGCGAAAACACTTTACATACGCATGAAATCGTTTCTTGGCAACTTTCTTGCCTTCCACGGCGTCGAGGGAGCTGCTTGCCTCGTTCTTCCTGTTATTCTCATCATTCTTGCTGTTCTTGTTGTTCTTGTTATTCTTTATATTTTTTGTTCCTGCTATTATTGCTGTACGTGTTGTTTTGTTGTTTTTGTATTGTTCTGGTTTTTCCTGTTGTTCATATGTTCTTGCATTCTTACTCTTTTCTGACCATGCCTGCTACTCCTGTTCTTCCTGTCATTCTAGCTGTTATTGTACGCTTGTTATTCTTGCACTCTTGTTGTTCAGTATGAAAGCTATATACCTGGGAAATCTTCTCCCAGTAAGCCGTCATTTGCGTCGCAACAAAAGCCTAAGTCTATAACTCAAGAGGTACATACTTCTCTAACTTAGGGTCCCGTTTTGGGTTCTTATCTTAAGGGTGCCGTACTGTAGAGGGTACCCAGAAAGGGACCCTAGCTTGGAGAACCACCCACAGGATTCTTGGGCCAGCGCCCAGGAAGATCTGAGCATGTGTGCTCGATATGTGGGGGGGCCCCCTGAGGAGATATCTCAATACCGCGCATTCTCTTTTTGGACAAAAGAGATGATTTTGGTGCAAGTGAGACAGCTAGCTTTGTGACATGTCGTGCGTGGGAAGCTTGAGCAAGGGAAGAGAAGGGCCACAATAGGAGTATTCTTAAGGGAACTTGTTAGGGCGTACATCCTTGGGGGTCCAATTTTGATTCCCTTGAGAACAGCGAGTACACTGATGCTGTGATTGTCTCAAGTGCAAGACGAGTATGCACCTTGACTACTGGATCCCAGGCCCACCCAAACCCCAAACCCCAGCACTGACCCCTGGCAACCAGGATGCCTTTAGTTCCCCTAAACC